TGGAGAAACTGAGCATAATCCTTCAGGGGGAAAAATGGATATTCAATGAAATAGAGAACTTTCAAGTATTCCTGACTTAAAGGCCAGAGCTGAACAGAAAATTTGATTTTCAATTATTCAAGAGAAGCATATAAAGGTAAACAGGAAAGAGAAAACATAGGGGATTCAATAAGGTTAAACTATTTATATTCCCTACACGGGAAGATGATAGTTATAATTCCTAAGAACTGTATAACTATTAGGGAAGTTAGAAGGAGTACACAGACAGGGTGAGAATATAAATTGATTTTGATGGGGTATTTTTAAAAAAAAACAAAATTAAGGGGTGAGAAAAGATTGCATCGAAAGAAGGGAGGAGTAGAATGGGGTAAATGATCTCACATGAAGGGACACCAAAGACCTATTACTGTGGAGGACAAGATGGGAAGGGGGGCAGCACTTCAACCTTACTCTCATCTGAATTGGCCCAAAGAATAACATGTACTCAGGCGGGCATAGAAATCTATCTTACCCTATGGGGAAGTAGGAGGAGAGGGGAAATAGAAAAGAGGCTTACAGAAGGGAAGGCAGACTGGGGGAGGAAGTGGTTAGATTTATCTAGTTCTGAAAGGGGAAAGTTGAGGTCCCCCAATACTACAGCTTCCTCCTTTAACTTATCTACCTTTTTCATTAAGAATTTGGGTGCTATACCATTTGGTGCACATGTTTAGATTGATATTACTTCATTGTCTATGGTACCTCTTCACAAAATGTAGCTTCCCCCACCCCTACTTATCTTCTTTAATTAAATCTATTTTTGCTTTCACTTTGTCTGAGATCATGATTGCTACGCCTGCTTTGTTTTTTTTTTTTTAACCACAGCTGAAGCACAATAAATTCTGCACCAGCCCCTTACCTTTACTCTGTGTGTCTCTCTGCTTTGTGTTGTTTGTAAATATATTGTTGGATTCTTGTTTTTAATCCATGCTGCTATGTGCTTCTGTTTTATGGGTGAGTTCATCCCATTCATATTCAGTTATGATTACGATGTATTTTCCTTCATCCTTATCCTTCTGTCTCCTTTCACCCCATCCCTCCTCAAAAGTGCTGTGCTTCTGAACACTGTCTCCCTCAATCCATCCTGCCTTCTCTTGTCCTTCTCCCCTCCTGCTTCCCAATAGAGTATGATAAATTTCTATACCCACCTTAGTGTATATATTATTTCTTCTTTGAGATAATTCAGATGAGTGTAATGTTCAAGCACTGCCCACCATCCCCACCACCACCATTTTTTCCTCCACAATAAAATCTCTTTTGTGCCTCTCTTATGTGAGATCATTTATCCCATTCTGCTTGTCCCTTTCCCCTTCTTGCAGTGCATTCCTTTTTCTCACCCCTTATAATTTTTTTCAATGTCATCTTATCATAGTCAACTCAATTTATACCATACCCTCTGTCTATGTACAAACCTTATAACTACCCTAATAAAGTTTTTAGGAGTTACAAGTATCATCTTCCCACGTAGGAATAAAAACAGTTTAACCTTATTGAGTCCCTTATAACTTCTCCTTCATGTTATGCTTCTCTTGAGTCTTGTATTTGAAAGTCAAATTTTCTATTCAGTTCTGGTCTTTTCATCAGGAATCCTTAAAAGTCCTCTGTTTCATTAAATATCCATCACTACCACCACCACCACCCCAAAGGATTATACTCAATTTTGCTGGGTATGGGATTCATGATAGTAATCCTAGCTCCTTTGCTCTTCAGAATATTATATTCCAAGCCCTCTGATCCTGTAATGTAGTACCCACTAAATCTTGTTATCCTGAATGTGGTTCCACCACATTTGAACTGTTTCTTTCTGGTTGTTTGCAATATTTTCTTCTTGATATGGGGGTCCTGGAATTTGGCTATAATATCCCTGGGAATTTCCATGTTGTGATCTCTTTCATGAGGTGATCAGTGGTTTCTTTCAATTTCTATTTTACCCACTGCTTCTAGAATATTAGGGCAGTTTTCCTTGATAATTTCTTGAAAGATGATATCTAGGTTCTTTTTTTCTTTTTTTTTGATCATGGCTTTCCGATACTGTATTAATTCTTAAATTATCTCTCCCCAATCTATTTTCTAGGCCAGCTGTTTTTCCATAGAGATATTTCATATTTTTCCCATTTTTTCATTCTTTTGATTTTCTTTTACTGTTTATTGATGTCTCATGAAGTCATTAGCTTCCACTTGCCCAATTCTAAATTTCAAGGATTTTCTTCAGTGAACTTTTGTACTTCCTTTTCTACTTTACCAATTCTTCTTTTTAAGGAGTTCTCAGTAGATTTTTGCACTTCTTTTACTATTTGACCTATTCTATTTTTAAGGCATTATTTTCTTCACAGGGGTGTGTGTGTGTGTGTGTGTGTGTGTGTGCGTGCATGCATGTGCCTCCTTCATTAAGCTGTTGGCTCTTTTCCAATTAACATTTTTCTTTGAGGCTCTGGATGTAGCTGTTCTGACCTTCCCTGTCACCCCAGTAACTTTCTATGGTGAAGTTCTTTTTTTGTTGTTTGCTCATTTTCCAGTCTCTTCTTTCCCACTTATCCTACTGTTTTTCCAATTACATGTAAAGATCATTTTCAGCATTCATTTTTATAAGATTTTGAGTTCCAAATTTTTCTCCCTCCCTCTCCTCCCCAACACAGCAAGCAATCTGATACAGGTTCCAGTCTATTTCTTGACTTTTTACATTATGTTAAAGTTGACCTCTGCTCCCAGGATGGAGAGGGCACTGTCCTAAGCTTCAGGTTTTTCATGCTGCTGTTTTTAGCTCGTTCTGAGGGTTTATAAGTTTTCAGCTCTTTCAAGTTGGTATGTTCTAAGGAGAGGTATGGTCATTGCTCTTTTGGGCCATGCTCTGGTGTGCGAGTGACCACACTCTTCTCTGCCCCAAAACTGTGACCAGGAACCCCACACCTGGTAGTGTTCCTCCTTGCTCTGGAACTGAGACCCAGGACTGTGACCTAGACCCGCATATGGGCAATGCAAGAATCCATCTCCAGTGACAGCAGATGATTCCCTGTAATCTCCTTTTGACCAAATACCCAAACCCCTTCACATCTGTAGGCTGAGAGCTCCAAAAGCTGCCATTGCCACCACTGACTCAAATTTCCCCTAAGGCCTACTACTGGCTTGCTGGATACAGCTTGCACATAGCCTTACACCCTAGCAAGACAGACTTTTCCTGCCAACCTTCTAATTTGTCTTCGGCTGGAAAATTGTTTCACCCTTGTCTTTTTGTTGGTTTTACCACTCCAGAATATTTTTTTGAAGCATTACTTTAACATTGTTTGGAAGTGAATTTACGAGAGCTCAGGGGAGTCCCTGCCTTTACACCTCCATCTTGGCCTGGTCCCTTTGTATCCATTCTTTATATATCTGTATATAAGCAGTATCTCTTCTTGATATGCCTTGGATATGATGCCTTTGTGAGGGAAACTTTCTGGAAAGGTTTTTCCCAGATAATTACTCCATTTACATTTTAGATTCATTGGGCTTTTTTTTTTAATGTATGAAAATTACCCATTTTATTTTCTGTGATCCTCTCTGTACCTTTTTGGGTGAACTCAACCTCTATCCAAAACTGAAACATATGTCTGTGGTTCTTCCAATGTGTTTGAGGGGACCTTTCATATCTAAGTCATGTAAGCTTTGGACCTATTCTTGGCACAGTGAGATGTTGGGCTATACCTAATTTCTGCCAAATTGCTTTCCAACTTTCCAGCATTTTGTAGTGATTAGGAAGTCCTGGCCCCATAGCTGGGGTCTATTTATTTAACCCATGGTCACTATATTCTTTTGTATATCATATACTTGGTCTATTCCATTTCTCAAGCTTTTTAAGTCATTACTCTCCCAGAAATACAAAGCTAGAGAGCATCTGAGGCAGGTTTTGAACCATCTTCCTGATTCAAAACCCAGTGCCCTATCTGCTACAATTAGTGCCTTCCTCTACACTATTCTGAACACCAATTTGAATGAAAAGTGACTAAACTGTCCACATATTTTACCCTAACTCTACTAAGAAACTTATAGCCCATAAAATAAATAATAGCTAATTTTTCTGTTGTAATTTAATACTTGCAAAGCTCTTTATAAGTATTTTTTCATTTGCTCTGCATATCAACCCGAGCATCTAGTTGCTATTATCCTCATTCTGAAAATGGGAAAAATCAAGCACGAATAGGTTAAATGACTTGCCAGAGTAACACAGACAATGAATGTTAGAAACTTAATTTGAACTCAGGTCTTGTGGCTCCAGCCACAGCACACTATCAACTGTGGCACCTAGCTATTTAAAGAAATCATTACAAAAATAAATAACCAAACAGATAGCAAAATATTTATACCAGGACATTAAGTGTCACCAAAGAATAGGAAACAAAGTGAGTACTAATCAATTAGAGAATGGCTAAAGAAATTATGGTATATGAATACAATGAAATAATATTGAGAAGTAATGACAAACAGGATTTCAAAGAAAAAATCATTATATTTATAGGGCTTTAAGAACAGTATGAAGTTTGAGATGTGTAACAAAGTCTATACTGTGGCAAAATGCCTTCCTCCATTACATAGATCTTTAAGTTTTAGCTTCAACATGATTTCTTGTATAATCAAGTATGAGCTCTATGCAAAGGCCTTGACATTGACAAAAGGCATTGCTTTTATAATCTTCCTTTCCAGTATGAATATTGTGATTTCTAGTGATCTCCCTTTTCCAGAGGAAATGTCTCTATTGAGCAATTTCTCTCCACTACAAATCCTCTAATGCAAAGTAAGAGATGATTTCTGGACGAAGGCCTTCTCCCATTGAGTCTATATAGGGTATCTCTCCAAAATAAATTTTCTAATATTGAACAAACTCCATAATCTATTTGCATGTCGTTCCTCATTCATTATAGTGGTAAAATTTCCATCCAATAGGAATTCTCTGGTGGAAAAAAACAGATGACTTTTACTTGAAGGCTTTACCACACTGGTTACATTCATGAGATTTCTTTCCAGTGTGGGTTCTTTGATGAAGAGGAAGACTGGAGTTGTGTCTGAAAGACTTTCCACACTGATTACATTCCTAAGATTTCTCTACACTATAGATTCACTGATGTTGACTAAGAGAAACCCTCTCTCCGAAAATCTTATCAACACTGATTGCATTCATAAGGTTTCTTTCTGTCCAGCGTAACTTCTCTGATGTACAGCAAGACTAGAATTCTGTGTCAATACCTTTCCATGTTGATGACATTCATAAGCTTTCTCTCTAGTGTGGATTCTCTGATGTGCAAATTCTGTGTGAAAGCCTTCCATATTGATTACAATCATGAATTTTCTCTCCAGTGTGGCTTCTCTGATGAATGGCACAATTGGAATTCCATGTGAAAGCCTTTCCACATTGACAACATTCATATAGTTTCTCTTCAGTGAGAGAATTGTGGGACTTATTTGAACCAAACTGACTCCATGTAAAACTGACTCTATTTTGAGACTTAAATTTCATTTTCCTATAAATTCCACCTGCTTGCTAATCACAGGGATTGAGTGACATCCTGTTTTACATCCTGAAAAATCCACCTGCTTGCTCTCCTCCTCTCTCAATTCATGAAACTCATTCAACCTCCTTCCCAACTTGGAAAATCCCTAATCTTTCTTCCAATTAGAAATCATATTACCTAATCTTATATCCTGTTTTCCCCCGTTAAATGTTTTCTTTTAATGCATAAAAATATCCCTCTCTCCCTGTATTTGAGATCCAGTGCCAAGCCGAGGACAGTTGGTCCTGATTTGTTCTGCGTGTATTGCATAATAAATTAATATGTTCAGAAGCTCAAACCTTTGTTTACTCAGTTATTTCAGATTTCACCCGTCACACTATTATGGATTCTCTGATGTTTGGAAAGATGGGAGTTCTGTGTGAAAGCTTTTCCACAGTGATGACATTCATAAGGTTTCTCTCCAGTGTGGATTCTCTGATGGCAAGCAAGTTTGGAGTTGTGTGTGAAAGCCTTACCACATTGATGACATTCATAAGGTTTCTCTCCAGTGTGGATTCTCTGATGTTTCAAAAGATTGGCATTCTGAGTGAAAGCTTTTCCGCACTGATGACATTCATAAGGTTTCTCACCAGTGTGGATTCTCTGATGTATAGCAAGACTGGACCTATTTGTGAAAGTCTTTCCACATTGATTACATTCATACGGTTTCTCTCCAGTGTGGATTCTCACATGTATAGCAAGACTGGACTTATTTGTGAAAGTCTTTCCACATTGATTACATTCATAAGGTTTCTCTCCAGTGTGGATTTTCAGATGGTAAGCAAGAAGGGCCCTATATGGGAAAGTCTTTCCACATTGATTACATTTATAAGGTTTCTCTCCAGTATGAATTCTCTGATGTACAGCAAGACTGGAGTTCTCTTTGAAAGCCTTTCCACATTGATTACATTCATAAGGTTTCTCCCCAGTGTGGATTCTCTGATGCAGAGCAAGTTTGGAGTTCTGTTTGAAAGCCTTTCCACATTGACTACATTCATAAGGTTTCTCTCCTGTGTGGATTCTCTGATGCACAGCAAGACTGGAGTTCCGTGTGAAAGCCTTTCCACATTGATTACATTCATAAGGCTTCTCTCCAGTGTGGATTCTCTGATGAAGAGGAAGACTGGAGCTGTGTCTGAAAGCCTTTCCACATTGATGACATTCATACGGTTTCTCTCCAGTGTGGATTCTCTGATGTTTAGAAAGATGGGAATTCTGTGTGAAAGCCTTTCCACATTGATGACATTCATAAGGTTTCTCTCCAGTGTGGATTCTCTGATGTGCAATAAGGGAAGAGTGTTCACCAAAAGCTTTACCACATTCATGACATTCATGAGGTTTGTCTCCAGTGTGGTTTTTCTGATGTATAGCAAGACTAGAGCTGCATCGGAAAGTCTTTCCACAGTGATTACATTCATAAGGTTTCTCTCCTGTGTGGATTCTCTGATGTACGGCAAGTTTGGAGTTTTCTTTGAAAGCCTTTCCACAGTGATTACATTCATAAGGTTTCTCTCCAGTGTGGATTCTCTGGTGTACAACAAGACTGGAGTTCTGTCGGAAAGTTTTTCCACATTGATTACATTCATAAGGTTTTTCTCCAGTGTGGATTCTCTGATGTACAATAAGCATAGAGTTTTGTGTGAAAGCCTTTCCACATTGATTACATTTATAAGGTTTCTCTCCAGTGTGGATTCTCTGATGAAGAGGAAGACTGGAGCTGTGTCTGAAAGTCTTGCCACAATGATGACATTCATAAGGTTTCTCTCCAGTGTGGATTCTCTGATGTTTAGAAAGATGGGAATTCTGTGTGAAAGTTTTTCCACACTGATTACATTCATAAGGTTTCTCACTAGTGTGGATTCTCTGATGTGCAATAAGGGAAGAGTGTTCACCAAAAGCTTTACCACATTCATGACATTCATGAGGTTTCTCTGAAGTGTGGTTTTTCCGATGTACAAGAAGACTGGAGATGTGCTGGAAAGTCTTTCTACTTTGATTATAATCATAAGTTTTCTCTCCAGTATGAATTTTCTGATGTTCATCAAGAATGGTTCTCTTTCTGAAAGTCTTTCCACATTGACGATGTTCATAAGGTTTCTCTCCAGTGTGGGTTTTCTGATGTTGAGCCAGTTTGGCACTCTGTCTGAATGCCTTTCCACATTGATTACATTCATAAGGTTTTCCTGCAGTGTGAATTTTATGATGGTCAATGAGCTTTGAATTCTGGCTAAAGGCCTTCCCACATTTGTTACAAAAATATAGCATTTTTCCAGTATGATATTTCTGTTGTCTAATAAGGTCTAAACTCAAGCTGTTGGCCATTCCCCTTTGATTACCTTTATATGTTTGCACTTCAGGAGGCTTTTCATAAGATTGAATAAGCCCAACCTTTTCAGTACCACATTCCCTATTTTCCCCACATGGAGAACAGCCATTTTCTGAGGTCATTTTCTTAAACTGAATTAGGACTGAGTATTGTCTGAAACCCTTTCCATCTTTATCAAATTTACAGTGACTATTTTGATTTTTCTCTGTCTTGATATCTGAGTCACAGATTTCTCTCAAATTGAAGTCACAGGGACCATCCCTCATGAATCTTTGCTGTTGAGACTCTTCCACAGAAATCCTCAGCTTTGCAGTACTCTTAGTTATTTCAAACTCAGTCTCTGCCCCTGAAGGAAACAAACATAGATAGAGACTCACATGCATATAAATAAATTCTCTTCTCTATTGGAAGAAAGGAAACGGACTTATAGTCTATATCCCCAATCAAAAAGAATTTTGAAACTTAATGGACAAAATAAATTAAGCATAGCACTAGCTCACATCTGGAGGATGATTAAATTTACAAAGAGCTTCACAAACAGTAACACTGGATGCTCACAACAAACCTGTGACACAGGCAGGTGGGATTCTCATTACACTTTACAACTCAAACCATGAGCTCAGAATGGCAAAGTCACATGACTCTGTGAAGGTGAGACTAGAACTGAAACCCTGCAACTGAACATGCTCTTTCCTAAGCACTGGACAGCTTTTCTCTATTTTACTTCTAACCCTTCATTCAAAACACCTTGTGTTGATTATTCTTTTCATTTTGTTGTGCTTATCTAAGCTTTCTGCTTTTCTATATGGACCAATTTTGATGCACTATCACGTGATCATCCTTTGTAAATTTCCTGTGCTGAGTTGAGAAATTGGTTTACACCTTTCACCTGTCGTATATTAGTTTTCAGTGTTTTGTATTGAACTTTTCTTATATTCCATTCAGATCCATAGATATTGTGCCATTTGCTAGCCCACATATACTAAAAATGATATTATTTCACTATCTATTATATCTTTGAGCATAATGCAATTCCATTGGTAATCCTTTTCATTTTTTCAATTGGATATATAAGATCACATCATAACTGCCAAACCTTTTTTATTTTAATATTCACCAGTGGGATCAGATTTTATTATGGCTCATGATTTTTAAAAGGTAGCTGTTATTCATTTATTTTGACAATTTTATCTTTGATGGTCTGTGTTCCCTAAATAAAAAAGGAAAATCAGAGTCTTTGTAATAAACAGAATAAAAAGAAATCCATGAACTTCCCACATTCAAAAATGTTATGTCTCATTCTGTATCTTCAGACCATCAACCTTCTTTCAGGAAGTGGACAACATGATTCACCATTAATCCTCTAGCAGCAGTTTCCATTTACTGGTTCATGAACAGTTTAGGGATTTATGACTGTGGTCTAAGGGATCTGAGCTAAAAATTCTTTAATGGCACCTTAAGCAGTAAATAATTACACAATTTTGTTACAATTAATATTCTTCCTAGATAATAAGTTTATGCATGTTCCAAGCATATGTTTCTTTATGCAGGTATTTCAAATTGTCATAATCAGACATACAATGATTTTGGTGTTCATACAGTGATTACACCAAACTCTGACTCTTTCTAAATAAAAAATATTCTGTTCCTCAACCCTTCATCAAATTGTTTCCAAACTGCCAGAATGGTGTGATGACATTCAAGCGCAAATCAGTTCCCAGTAGATGGTCAAAGGTAGGGACGTAACCATATTTGCTTTCTGTAATACACTATATCAGAGTATTTCCCTCATTCCAGAATTACCTTGTAATTTGTATCTCATCAATGACTTAATCATCAGACCAAGATGTTAGAAATGTTTGTGGTTTTGCAATGCAGATGACAGGTTATTTAAAAAACATGCTCACTAGGGCAGCTAGGTGGTACAGTGGATAGAGCACTGGCCTTGGAGTCAGGAGGACTTTGAGTTCAAATCTGGCCTTAGATACATAATACTTCCTAGCTGTGTGACTCTGGGCAAGTCACTTAACCCCAACTGCCTCACTAAAAAAAAAATGCTCAATAGGCATGGACATTGCAAGACCTGTTGAAACCATCAGGGACCATCACAACAATTCTACAAAAAAAGACAGTATATTGCCTCTCACTGTAATGTTAAGGCTATTTTTTTATTTGAACTTATCTTCTGTTTTTGTTACTATTCTTCTATTGGGCAGATTTTCAAAGGATCTGGTTGATAACATAGGTCAGTCATTTTGTAGAGTTTCTGTGAGGGCGTAGACAGCGTACCCGTGGAAGAAAGAAGAAACTTATACCTGAAGATTTCTTTCCTTACAAAGGTTGTTTTATAGAAAAGCATTGTTCAAAAAAAAAAAGAAAAAAGAAAAAAGAAAAGCAATATAGGCAAATGGACTTAAAGGGAATTTATCTTTAATACACTACTTATAATTAGCAAATAGAAAAATAAAATTTTTATATATCAACTAGTTATTCTTTTTGGTCACTGGTTTGTGGACTAAAAATAAAAAATGAATTTCCATCCCTCAGCAAGAGAGTTTGTAAAATCCTCTTACCATTTTCTACCTCATCCATGTGTGGGTGAGCATTTTCAGAGTATTCTGGTTATCAAACAAAATACACAGGTGATAGAGAGCTGGGCCTAGCAGTCAGGAAGACCTGAATTCAAATCCCTCCTCAGATACTAACTAGCACTGTGACCCTGGGCAAGTCACTTAGCCTCTTCTTACTTATTTCCTTAATAGTAAAATAGCATAACAACAACTACCTGACAGCATTTTGAGGATCAAATGAGATAATGTCTGTAAAGCACTTAGCCCAGTGTCTGGCACATCACAGGCACCAATAAATACTATTTATTATTCTCATTTTTATTATTATTAAATCAACTGGATACAGAACCACATTAAAAACTGAGTTTGGTGGCAGTTGCAGCAATATTGCAAAACTTAGTTCAAGCAAAAAGTCCAACTTTGAAATAAATTTCACATATTCCCATTATGTTTAATAACTTCCAAGTTATAATTTATTTGATGAAAAAATGCTTTTTATATTAAAAAATCATAAAATAAATTTAAATTGAAGTCTTATAGTTAATAGGGAGGAAGATTTATTGTAGTTATAAAAATATATCTTGCAGAAAGACCCATATTAAAATTTCATAATTATTTTAAACTTATTTATATTTTGTTTTCATAATTTAAGAATGAAATTTCACATTTTATAATAATACATTGTAAAGAAAGTATGGCAAAAGTTGCCCAGTCATTATTGTAGGAATTAAATGCATTAATTAATCTGAATGAGTAGTAGTTTAAATGACTAGGGAGTTGCACAACACACTTATTGTTGAAAGAAGTTCTAAGATCAAAAGATTTGGAGAACCACTGCTCAGGGGTCATTATTGTTCATTGCACAGATCAATGGAGCTACAATATAAATTATCCTAACTAGTTCTGTTCATTTATCTCTTTATCTATTCAGACAACTCTTCCCAGGTTTCTCTGAAACTGTGCCTTTTATCATTTCTTAAGGTCCAACAATCTTCTATTATATTCTTAGATCATTATTTATTCAGTCATTTCCTGATACATGGACACCATCTTTGTTTTCAGTTCTTTGCAACAAGAAAAAATAGCAGCTACAATTGGCATTGGGTTTTTGGTCTTTTCCCTCTTTTCTTAATCCCTTTAGTTGATAAGTCTACTAGTGATTATCACTGGGTCAAAGGACATCCAGGTTTGTGAGACTGGGGGCAGAGTTCCAAACTCTATTACAGAATGACATGCCTTTATTTTAATGCTGTGTGTATCTTCTTCACATCAAGGATGTTTCTTTACACACAACGTGTTTTTGGGTACTGGCTCCTAAAGCAGTCTGCTACCCTCCTCCACTATTATGAGTGAATTCATCTCATGAACATTTAGTGATGGCAATTAATTATGTTTTCTCCATCATATCCTCTTATTCTCTTTGCTCTTTGCCCCTGCCTCATTCTGTAGAAACAAAAAATATATATGGGGAAAAGAATGGGATCAACACTAGTCATCTGTAATTGAAGTGGCATGATTCTGATCCACCCTGTTATCCATACATTCCAGTCCTAGAAGACAGCTTGTAATACTATCTTTAAAATCTTCTCTTTTACTTTTTTTTTTTTTATTTTTAGGCAGTTGGGGTTAAGTGACTTGCCCGGGGTCACATGGCTACTAAAGGTCAAGTATTTGGTCAGGTCCTCCTGACTCCAGGGCCGGTGCTCTATCCACTTTGCCACCTAGCTGCCCCTAAAATCTTCTCTTTTTAATCTCCCCTATTTGAAGCATCCAATACCTATTTTCCACCTTCAGGCAGCTGGGAAGCGCAGTGGATAAAGCACTGGGCCTGGAGTCAAGAAGATGTGAATTCAAACACAGATTCAAATACCTGTGTGACACTGGGTAAGTCACAGTACCTCTGTTTGCCTCAGTTTCCTCAAAAGTAAAATGAGGATAACAACAGCATCTATTTCCCAGGGTTGCTGTGACGATTAAATGAGATAATATTTGTAAATCATTTGGCCCACAGTGGATGCTATACTAATGCTACCTTTTATCACCCATATTTTGATTTTCATTATTTCCTCACCAACTCTGACCTCCTTACACTGCACTTGTCCTCTCACCTTCTACTCACTTATTTCCCGATAAACTTGAGGTTTTTTGATACCAACACACCTTCCTTTGCCAAGATCAGCTAAGAACAAGGTTCTTGATCTATTGCTTCTTCCCAAACCACCTCTGTTTGTATGCTAGATTGTGAGTTCCGTGACAGAAGGGACTGTCTTTTGCCTTTCCTTCTTTCTCCAGAGCTAAGCATGGTGCCTAGAGCATTGTAGGTGTTTACTCAATGTTCACTGACTGACTGATCCCAGGGCTAATACCAGGACTCAACCCCTCCCTCATCTCCTGGTTTCTGGTCTCTTGCTTGGTTCTCAAGTGCAGGTTCTGGCTTTAGCTCTGTTTCTGTCTATTCCTTGCATCTTATCACCTATAAGGAGTTACCTCTGTCTGGTTCAAACATAGATGGGGCCTGACCAGACCAAATATAGGAGATCACAAAGGTTTCTAGGTTCCCTGAGGATCTGGACTATGGAATGCCTGGGAGTCTCTACCTCCTGTCTCCCTACCGTTGAGGTAGTGATCACCTCAACGAATGCTGCCGAAGTTTTTCTGAAAATGGAAATAAACAGTGGGCCATAAAGATCAGGAAAGGGACTTAAGATGGCAAGCTTCAGCCCTAGATAACTACTTCTAAGTAAGGCAGTGATCATACTCACACACTGCTAAAAGGAGACAAAAATCATGAAACCAGCTTGGCTGGTAAAAGAGTCCACTACAAATTTCAAGTTATGCACATTCAACTGGGTCCTTGTTGTGCCAATGTAATCCTATATCTCTATCTGACTCGCTATCCCACT